AGCGCTTCATTGTCCGGGCTGTGCGAGCCGTTATCGGCGCCGCTCCTTGCTCTCCGCCGGGGCTGACAGCCCTCCCCAGCGAAGGGCTCGGCGGGCTGCAGCGAGGGCTGGCTGCCGGGCAGCCTTTGCACTGCAATAAATATTTGTACCTGAGCGCGGGGAGCGTTAGGAGTCGTGTACCATTTGCCACAGACGCAGTCGCCGATAAGCACCAAGCGATATCGCTTCCTAAAGCAGAGGAAACTCGGCACATCGTCAACAACATGTGCCTGACATTTTTTTTCTGAACGTCTTGTTAAAAGCAACACCTGAAAAAAGATGGGTAGCGAGCGACTCCTTTTTGTTTCTTCCCCCTTTTGATAACTGAGGACATTACGCCTCGTGTTGTGCTCGGCTTCGCCCTGTCCTTTATTGATTGTTTGGGTTTTCACAGAACAGAACGATAGTAATAAAAAGAATCACAGTTATCGTTGGGAAAAAACGAGGAAACAGGCGCCGTATCTTAAACAGCAGGTCACTAGCTCTTCTGCGCGGCGGAGCCGGCAGCGTGCCTCTAAAGCCCGGACCTTCGCACGCACCGCTTGCCCGGGGAAGTGGAAGCTGCCCCGCCAGCCTAGAGATCCCGGACCCTTTCCCCACCCTCGTCCAGAGCCCATTGACCGAAGCCTCACGGTTCTTTCAGACACCCCCGCCCCAGCCCGAGTGCCAGTTATCACCAGTTGTCAGTGAAATGCCCTCCAAGGGCCGGACCGCGGGCTGGTGCGGTTTGCGCCGCGCCGCTCCCGTGCCGGCGTTCACACCGCGCTGCCTAATTTAATCGAAATTTATTTAATTAATTTCATCAGTGTAAACGAGAAATGGGTTATTCTGTCCCGTTACTTCGTAATCGCTCCGAATTAGCTATTCATGTGGTGCGGGGGGGGAAATCCCGTTGGGGGGCGGGGGGGAGAAGTTAAACGAAGGCGGGTGACCAATTCGTCTGCCAGCAAAACTGTAGCATTTACAGGGACCTGCTGGGAAGTCAGGAGCCTCCGCCGCTGTCAGGAGGGGGCTCCTCTCTCGGGCAGGCTGCGGAGCCGGCTGGGTGCCCGCGCCCGCCTGCGCCCTCCAGGGAAACCGAGCCCGGGACCCCCAGGACTTCAGGGCAGGGTGTCCTCCCTCCCAAAGGCAGAGCAGGGAGAGCCAGTGCTTCACTTTAAGATCCCACTTGATGAGATTTCTCACAGTGTTTGCTCGCTGTGCAACTTGAGGGAGAGCAATGCTCGCCCCCCCGCGCGATGCGGTCGCGCTCTGTGCTCCTCGACTCCCTCTTCCCGGGAGGCCAGGCAGGTCCCCGCAGCGGGGCGCAGCCCAGCCTGGGTGCCCGCCGCCCGGCTCCGTGTGCTGGGGCGGGAACAAGGACGAGGTTTTGTCGAAAGCCGAATTCTGCTTCAGGCAATATGCAGCTGATTTTGAACGAATTCCCACCAGCCCACCAAATCCTGCAGCTGCTTGTTTGGCCACTAAAACCCCATGTGGCTTCTAAACTTCTAGAAAGAAAAAGGGAAAAGACGTCCATCCAAGTAAACTGTAAGTGAAAACTCATTGATTACCTCCGCCTTCCTGTCTCTGATTTGATTAATCGTTTGCCATCATGCTTTCCGAGTCACTGCTGTGTTGGTTTCCCTCTGCCTGAATCCTGTAAGACTTTTCCAGAAGGGCGGCTGTGATGTTGAGACCAACATACCGTAAACAACCACAAGAAGCAGAGATAATCATTTCAATACAGTTCAAGGAGTAAAATAAACTCATTGGATTAGGGCAGCCTGAGCGATTGTTTTGGTGAGCGCTTCCCAGGCCCGCTGCTGAGCACATCCCCGAGGGCTACCCGGGGCGGGCGGCGGTGCCGCGGCGGCCCCGGGCAGCGGAGCGGGCGGGCAGGC